CAGCAGTACGCTGTCTCATCAGGGAGCTTACCTCCTAGTGCAGAGATACAAACTACTAATAAATAAATATAATATTAGGTGGTAAGAAATACTATGAAAAAATAAAACAGGGAAAGAGGAGGATACATAGTACTGTGTTTGGGAGGCACAGGGGCTTTTTTTTTTTTTTTTTTTTTTGCGGTACTCAGGCCTCTCAGTGTTGTGGCCTCTCCCGTTGCGGAGCACAGGCTCCGGACGTGCAGGCTCAGCGGCCATGGCTCACGGACCCAGCCGCTCCGCGGCATGTGGGATCTTCCCGGACCGGGGCACGAACCCTTGTCCCCTGCATCGGCAGGCGGACTCTCAACCACTGCGCTACCAGGGAAGCCCAGGGGCTTTTTTTTTTTTACATACGGTGGCCAGAGAAAGCCTTCCTGATGAGATGACAGCTGCAGAGAGAGGGCGTGAATATCTCTGGAAGAGAAGATTTTAGGCAGAGAGAGAGGAAAGAAGTGCAAAGGCCTGGATTTCCTTCTGCAGCTGGTAAACTGGAAGGTGAAGCAACTGCCCAAGGAGACTTTGTTCCCCTAGGTTTCAAGGTGTCAGAAAGACTCACAAGTCAAACTTTGAAAGTGTTTTGATGACCCATAAGTAATTTCTCAAATGTAGTGAGAGTCAGTTAACTGTGTTCCCAGTAAGGCTGAGGTATCCATTTGAAATGAAGATTTATTGTTTCATCTCAGGTCACACACTGCCTGCTAGTACTGTACTCAAAAGTCCTTCACCTCTGAGTAAAGTCGAAGATAACAAGGAGAGCCTTACAAGTGTACAGTGTTGGGGAACTTCACAGGGTGGGGGGCGGTCCTCACTAACCCTGTGCCTTTGCACTGTCTCTACAGGCAGACGTTTCAGGCGTTCTCTGAGATGGCTCCAGAGTTTGGTGATAAAAGACCCACATTTGAAAAATCTTGACATCATTTTTAAGGTAAACAGGATATCAGGAGAGAACAGGAAACTATTGCTACTAACTGGTGAAAGTGGAAGAAGAAAATATGGAAGGATGAAGTTTCAGGAGACAGCATAATAGTTGAGTATCAGCTGTCCATTTTGAGTCAGACTTGGGCTCAAATTCTGACTCCCTGCCATTCATCGGCTATACATTCACAAGGAATTTAATCTCTCAGTCTTTTCACCTTTAAATGGAGATAACAGTTACTATGAGTGTTGAATAAATGGCCTTCAATAAATGATTTAAGTGGTTGCTATAATTATTCCTTAAATTATTATTGCTTATTATTATAGAAGGGTTTCAATCAGTGACCAGGAGAACAGTCAGCCTCGTGAGTGAGTAAATAGGCAGCTGGCTACCATGCGAGATTCAAAGGTTGTTAATAACCACCTGCCCTCACCTGTACCCGTTCCAGTAGCTGCCATTCCACCAATAGGGATTTATTCATTGGAGTGCATTCACTGCAGTTCAAGCATCTTGCTCACTTTGCCCTTTTTAAGATGCAAATATTCCAGAAAGGGATAACCCTTTAAACTATTATTAATAATTTGTGCCTTTATACAGGTGGACATTTGTCTTTGCCACACCAACCTTAACGTTATTTCTCATTCCTCTTCTATTTATATATCAACACTCCAGCCAGATTGGGTTTCTCTCCTTTATCTGGTTGTGTCTTGTACTTTCCTGTCCTGGCAGCTTAATACAAGCCGTTTCTTCTACCTGAAATGCCACCCTCTTTATGAAGCTCCCGCTCATGAATATTATTTCCTCCATGAATCCTTCCCTGTTTCAGGCAGATGCAATTTCCCATCCTCAGAGTTCCTTTATAGCACATCATTAATTTTATTTCTCTCCAAAGTAGATTTCAGAAGGCTAAAAACATACAGAAGAATAGAATAAATAATTGAAGAAAGGTGGATGAAGGGAAAATAAGTCTAGACAATAAGCCCCTGTAGAAGCCTGACCACCTGATGGCCTAGATCTTTGTGCCTTGTTTGTCATCCCACTACTTTCATTTGCAACCAAAACTGGTTTATCATTTAGGAAGATATTTTCAGACATAGTAGTGACATGTGGGACTTCTCCCTCCACACTTTCTTCCAAAAGAATATAGGTGTTATCCCAGATCATCCTGATAAACCATTCAGGCTCCCTTTATTTTTCGCAGTACATGGACCCCTGGTTACAGTCAGTCAAAGACCATGAGCGGGAACAGGCCACAGCCAGCATGGCTCAAGTTCTGAAGTGTTTATCCAGAAATCTCAGCCTGAAGGTAAGCAGCCCTTTAGTTGAGGATGAAGGATCCAGAGCCATCCTTTTATTGCCTATTTCCCCTCCTGTTTATGACTCCCCAAACTGGTGACTTCTTGGTGCTTACATAATAGCCCTTAGCATTATTCACATATCTGCTCCTCTCCCATAACTGAACAGCTTGAGGCCAGCTACTGTGTTTATTAATCTTGCATCCTCATGGGGATGCACAAGAGCTGGTACATAACAACAGAGTATACGTTTTCATATGAATGCGTAAATAAATGTAACCTGAAAATATCTGAGCGCCTTCAGTGGCCTAGTCTCTGTGCATTGCTTTTTTTTTTTTATGTATCTATTTTATTTATTTATTTTTGGCTGTGTGGGGTCCTCGTTGCTGTACACGGGCTTTCTCTAGTTGCGGCGAGCAGGGGCTACTCTTCGTTCAGGTGTACAGGCTTCTCACTGCGGTGGCTTCTCTTGTTGCAGAGCATGGGCTCTAGGCGCGTGGGCTTCAGTAGTTGTGGCACATGGGCTCAGTAGTTGCAGCTCGCGGGCTTAGTTGCTCCCCGGCACGTGGGATCTTCCCGGACCAGGGCTTGAACCCGTGCCCCCTGCATTGGCACGTGGATTCTTAACCACTGTGCCACCAGGGAAGCCCTCTGTGCACTGTTATATTTGAAGTAGTAAAGTCCAGCAGGCAAATATAAGTGTGTGAATCAATTTAAATATCTCCCAGCATCAGATCAGCTCAGTGCTTTGTGACCACCTGGAGGGGTGGGATAGGGAGGGTGGGAGGGAGACGCAAGAGGGAGGAGATATGCAGATATATGTATACATATAGCTGATTCACTTTGTTATAAAGCAGAAACTAACACACCATTGTAAAGCAATTATACTCCAATAAAGATGTTAAAATAAATAAATAAATATCTCCCAGCACCTCAAAGAAAATGGTTCTATTGTACCTCTCTTTAAATCCCCTCATTTCCCTCTTTCACTCTCTCACTTCTCACTTGTTCTGAATCTTCTCCCATAACTCCCAAAAAGAATTCCCCAAAACTAGGATCCTCCCTCCTAATCTGTTCCTTTTTTCATCCGCAAATCTCTTTCTTCTTTCTCCAGTAGATCTTCTAGGCACTGGAGCCTCTTCTGTTCTCTATCCATCATTTCTCCAATCTGCATAATAAGGCCCAGGAACTGGAAGAGAAGTTGGGGGGTAGGAATACCAGGTCTTTATGCCAGAATTCCTTAGAGAATTTGCCCTTGATATAAATATTCTAACAGTCATGTTTAAAAGGACAGCATTCCACTAACTTTCTTATTTCTCCCATTGAAAGCATATCCAAACTTTCCACCTCCTATTGAAGCTCAGTCCCTCAAACTATGCTACTTCCCTTTTTCTCTGTTTAGTCAGTGATAGCAAGTGACTTGTGGCTATCACTGACTACCTTATTCTGTCCTCACTGACTACTCTATTGTTAACAACAATGTCTCCTTCTTCCTCAACCTCTAATTTTGGCTGCAGATTAAAGACAAGAGTTTCAAAAGACTCCTTCCTATACATAATCTCTCTCTAGGCCCTGCAGATCTTCCTTAACATTTTCTTCCTGGGGAGAATTGCTAATATAAGGGTGCTTAACTTAGGTGCCATTGGGGTCTGTGAACATCTAGAAAGTTGTATGCAGAATTTTGTGTGGTGCAGTCCGAGGAAGGTCCATAGTTTTTCTTAAATCGACTTTATTGAGTTATAATTTATATATTAAAATTTATATACAATGAAATCCACCTAATGTAAGTGTATAGTTTTTTGCGGAGCACAGGCTCCGGACGCGCAGGCTCAGCGGCCATGGCTCACGGGCCCAGCCGCTCTGCGACATGTGGGATCTTCCCGGACCGGGGCACAAACCCGTGTCCCCTGCATCGGCAGGCGGACTCTCAACCATTGCGCCACCAGGGAAGCCCCAAGTGTATAGTTTTGACAAATGTATATTCTCTGGGTCACCTACTCTTTTTATATTCTCAAATAAACCTAAAACGATAAAGAATTGAAAAAGAGAACACTAAAGAGCTACTTAGTGGTCAGACTAAAAACATAATTCTCCAATAACCTTTTCTGTCTTAATAAGGTTTGAGATTTTTTAATATTATGAATATAGGCTCAGTATAGAAAGTTAAAAATTTTAAAACTAGAAGGAAGAGAAACTATCTTGTCATCTGGAGATAGCCCCTGTTAACATTTTTATTTATTCCTTCTGAGTACTTTTTTCTGCATGAGTATGTTGGGATGGGGTCTTCCACTCAGTTCCTTCCAATTTTTTCTCTACATGTAGCCATAAGAGTTACCTTCTTAAAACCCATGTCACTCTTTTGATCCAATGATTTCCATCTGTTCTTAGAATACAAGGTCTTGTGTGATCTAGCTCTTCCTGCCTCTCTACACCCCTGACTTATTCCAGCACAGAATCTGCCACTCAGTAGATGTTCAATTTAATATTTATTGAATAAATGTAGGTCACTTGTGTCCTTTGTCTGCTCAAAACCCTCCAATGGCTTCCCATCTCACACACAATAAAATCCAAAATCCTTACAACGTTTTGTAAGTTGCTAAGCCATCTGGCCTCATCCTCATCTGCCTCCTATTTCTTTCTTTTTTTTTTTTTTTTTGCAGTACGTGGGCCTCTCACTGTTGTGGCCTCTCCCATTGCGGAGCACAGGCTTGGGACGTGCAGGCTCAGCGGCCATGGCTCACGGGCCCAGCCACTCCACGGCATGTGGGATCTTCCCAGACCAGGGCACGAACCCGCGTCCCCTGCATCGGCAGGCGGACTCTCAACCACTGCGCCACCAGGGAAGCCCGACTCAAATTTCTTGATTCCAATTGTCTGTACCTTCTTCAGTAGCTCCCTAGGTAATAGCTTTAGCTGTTTCAAAGAAGAAAAGGAAAATACCAATTTCTCTAAACTGAATGAGGAAATCGAAATGAGGAAAAAAGCAACAGGGATAATCTCGCCAAGACTGTTCCTGCTGTTGCTATCTTTGGGTGTTACATATATCCCTCTCATATGAATGACTTTTCCACCAAGACCTTCTGATTAAAAGGCTATTCTCTGGGGGGCGGTAGGGGGTAGGTTAAACCAGTGTTCATTTTTCCAACTTCTCTGGGAATACAGCAGAGCAGGATTAACATTATACATTCAGGAAACAAAAGTGATCCTAAGTTTTGGTTCTAGGTAGAATGAAGTATCAGGACAGTCTCTTAGAGGAAAACTTCAAAGAAAACGCTATTCTGAAATATCTTCTTGTGACTAAATTGAGTGCCCTGGACATAGATTTTGATGGATAAATGCCTTAGAATTAACATTAGGTTAAATTGGGCTTTTTGGTTTTTAATTTCTTTATCTAAAGTCTAAGCGAGGTAGAAAAATCGTTAACTATCCTTTCGAGTAGAAAAATCGAGTAACTATCCTTTCGAGTATCCTATCCCTGGCACTACTTTCTCTGTAGGGACTCAGCTTAAGGACCACCACGTTAGTTTTTCCTTTGAGGAACAAGAACCAGAAGAATGATGAGGGCTGGTCTTGCCCCTCCCCGACAACTATTAACTGCTTTTTTTTGACCGTTAGAAGGTTAGCTGGTGAGTAGTTTTTCCTAAGAGGGGCATGTGCAGACTAAGTAGTTGCTTAGGGCAGAACAAAGATGGGGAAAAAAAAAATTTTTTTTTTTTATAAAGAATTTCAAAATGAAATATTCATGCTGGGAAAAATAATCAGAACTTTGTTGTACTTTCTTACCCTTATTTTGGGGTTTGGAATTGTTTATATTTTGAATTACATTTGGAAGGCTGTGTACTATCATCTTTTTAGTCTTGGAGCCTCTAAAGGTCTTCATCAGGCTCTCGACACATGCTCTGGGGAACTATGAAATACTAAACCACAACTGGGAGGCTAATCATAGAGGCACAGTGGGATCAAAATAGAAACAACCTTCATGATGTATCTGGATCAGAAATGAAGGGCAGAGTAAATCTATCTAACCACCCATACTTCATTTTCTATTCAAAAAAAGCTCAGTTGAGTGTTAACATGGCAGGCCATTGGATAATAATGAAAAATAAAACCCAACATGTACCCTGAGAAAAAGTAGGGAGAGCATATCGACAAAAGGAAAAAAAAAAAAAAAAGCATGCAGGTGAGGCTGGACCTGACAGATGTGCTTCAATGCTTAGCTGCCTAAATTGATTCAACTGGTAATAGGGGAGCCCTGAAGAGTCCTGAGAAAGAGACATGTTACAAATGCTGCTTGAGAAAGACTAGACTAGTAAGTAAACATAAGATGGATTGTAAGAGAAAATATAACATGTTGAAAGACAGCTAGAAATCTGGTGGAGGAGGAATCCACAAGACTTAGTAATTAGGTATAGAGGATGAAGGAGCAGGGGAGTCAGTGATAACAAAGAAGACAGCATGGGATGGGTTTTCTTTTTGGTGATTTTGGCAGTACTGTTTACTAAAAACCAATGATACAATAGCGGAGGGAAGAACACTCCCAAACTCACTCTACGAGGCCACCATCACCCTGATACCAAAACCAAAGATGTCACAAAAAAAGAAAACTATAGGCCAATATCATTGATGAACATAGATGCAAAAATCCTCAATAAAATACTAGCAAACAGAATCCAACAGCACATTAAAAGGATCATACACCGTGATCAAGTGGGGTTTATCCCAGGAATGCAAGGATTCTTCAATATATGCAAATCAATCAATGTGATACACCACATTAACAAATTGAAGGATAAAAACCATATGATCATCTCAATAGATGCAGAAAAAGCTTTTGACAAAATTCAACACCCATTTATGATAAAAACTCTCCAGAAAGTGGGCACAGAGGGAAGCTACCTCAACATAATAAAGGCCATATGTGACAAACCCACAACCAACATCATTCTCAATGGTGAAAAACTGAAACCGTTTCCCCTAAGATCAGGAACAGGACAAAGGTGCCCACTCTCACCACCATTATTCAACATAGTTTTGGAAGTTTTAGTCATGGCAGAGAAGAAAAAGAAATAAAAGGAATACAAATCGGAAAAGGAGTAAAACTGTCACTGCAGATGACATGATACTATACATAGAGAATCCTAAAGATGCTACCAGAAAACTACTAGACCCAATCAATGAATTTGGTAAAGTAGCAGTATACAAAATTAATGCACAGAAATCTCTTGCATTCCTATACACTAACAACGAAAAATCTGAAAGAGAAATTAGGGAAACACTCCCATTTACCAATGCAACAAAAAGAATAAAATACCTAGGAATAAACCTACCTAAGGAGAAAAAAGACCTGTATGCAGAAAACTATAAGACACTGATGAAAGAAATCAAAGACGATAGAAACAGATGGAGAGATACACCATGTTCTTGGATTGGAAGAATCAATATTGTGAAAATGAGTATACTACCCAAAGCAATCTACAGATTCAGTGCAATCCCTATCAAACTACCAATGGCATTTTTCACAGAACTAGAACAAAAAGTTTTACAATTCATATGGAAACACAAAAGACCCCGAATAGCCAAAGCAATCTGGAGAAAGATAAATGGAGCTGGAGGAATCAGGCTCCCTGACTTCAGACTATGCTACAAAGCCATAGCAATCAAGCCCAGGGTATTGGGCTTCCCTGGTGGAGCAGTGGTTGAGAGTCCGCCTGCCGATGCAGGGGACACGGGTTTGTGCCCTGGTCCGGGAAGATCCCACATGCCGCGGAGCGGCTGGGCCTGTGAGCCATGGCCGCTGAGCCTGCGCGTCCGGAGCCTGTGCTCCGCAACAGGAGACGCCACAACAGTGAGAGGCCCGCGTACCGCAAAAAAAAAGAAAAAAAGATGGTATGGTACTAGCACAAAAAGAGACATACAGATGAATGGAACAGGGTAGAAAGTCCAGAGATAAACCCATGCACATATGGTCACCTTACCTTTGACAAAGGAGGCAAGAATATACAATGGAGAAAAGACAGCCTCTTCAATAAGTGGTGCTGAGAAAACTGGACAGCTACATGTAAACGAATGGTATTAGAACACTTCCTAACACCATACACAAAAATAAACTCAAAATGGATTAAAGACCTAAATGTAAAACCAGACACTATAAAACTCTTAGAGGGAAACATAGGCAGAACACTCTATGACATACATCACAGCAAGATCCTTTTTGACCCACCTCCTAGAGAAATAGAAATAAAAACAAAAATAAACAAATGGGACCTAATGAAACTTAAAAGCTTTTGCACAGCAAAGGAAACCATAAACAAGACAAAAAGACAACCCTCAGAATGGGAAAAAATATTTGCAAACGAAGCAACTGACAAAGGATTAATCTCCAAAATATACAAGCAGCTCATGCAGCTCAATATCAAAAAAACAAACAACCGAATCCAAAAATGGCCAGAAGACCTAAACAGACATTTCTCCAAAGAAGATATACAGATTGCCAACAAACACGTGAAAGGATGCTCAACATCACTAATCATGAGAGAAATGCAAATCAAAACCACAATGAGGTATCACCTCACACTAGTCAGAATGGCCATCATCAAAAAATCTACAAACAACAAATGCTGGAGAGGGTGTGGAGAAAAGGGAACCCTCTTGCACTGTTGGTGGGAATGTAAATTGATACAGCCACTATGGAGAACAGTATGGAGGCTTCTTAAAAAACTAACAATAGAACTACCGTATGACCCAGCAATCCCACTACTGGGCATATACCCTGAGAAAACCATAATTCAAAAAGAGACATGTATCACAATGTTCACTGCAGCACTATTTACAGTAGCCAGGACTTGGAAGCAACCTAAGTGTCCATCGACAGATGAATGCATAAAGAAGATGTGGCACATATATACAATGGAATATTACTCAGCCATAAAAAGAAACGAAATTGCGTTATTTGTAGTGAGGTGGATGGACCTAGAGTCTGTCATACAGAGTGAAGTAAGTCAGAAAGAGAAAAACAAATACACACACACACACACAAACACACACATATATGGAATCTAAAAAAAAAAAATGGTTCTGATGAACCTAGGGGCAGCACAGGGATAAAGACGCAGACATAGAGAATGGACTTGAGGACATGGGGAGGTGGAAGGGTAAGCTGGGACGAAGTGAGGGAGTGGCAATGACTTATATACACTACCAAATGTAAAATAGATAGCTAGTGAGAAGAGGCTGCATAGCACAGGGAGATCAGCTCAGTGCTTTGTGTCCACCTAGAGGGGTGGGATAGGGAGGTGGGAGGGAGGCCCCAGAGGGAGGGGATTTGCAGATATATGTATACATATAGCTGATTTATCTTGTTACACAGCAGAAGCTAACAAAACATTGTAAAGCAATTATGCTACAATGAAGATGTAAAAAAACAAAACAAAACAATGATATAGTTTAGTTACAATCCAAAAGAGGAAAAAAAAAAGAGTACTGCTTAAATTTGCTTTATTTCATAAGGGAAATAAGGGAACTCAAGAGTATTTTCCTTTTATCGTGGCCTCATTTCCAAGGCCTGCACTTCCTAATAATTCAATTCAGGACAGTCTGAGAATTACAACATGGCAAACGGAAAAGTCATAGACATGAGTGGTTAATTGGATGTAAAGGGTTACGGATCAGATGAATCAAAACATAGGAGGGGAAAATGGAAGGCTTTACATAGATAAGATATGACTTACTGAAAATCCGAAGTTAGAGCCCAGATTCACTCCTGAGGAGAAAACAACAGAGAGTGTTTCTCAGTTTTTGTTTGTTTGGTGGATGACCTTTGAGAGGTGTTTCTTTTGTTCTTGGATCATTTTCAAGCCAGCAATGCCCCTCAGTTCAAGTCTGGATGACCTGAAAGTCACAACAAAGGAAGAATCAGTATCTTGCACATGGCAGGCATTCAGTAAACATTTTTGGAATGAAGAAATGAAGGGCTTTCAGGACTTAGTATGCATGAAGTGGGACAAGAATCAGGAGAATCAAATCCAGCTGCAAAGAAGAAATGGGCTATAGCACGTATACTGCAACTCACTGAAAGCCCAACTACTTACTAAAGGGATGAAAAACGGGGCAATGAGTCTCAGGTTCTATTTGATTTATAATTCCTGAGAGCTGTTTCCTTTTATCTTGGTTTCTTTTCAAGGCCAGAATGACCCTCTGAAGTTCAGATCTGGATAAAAAAGAGATTGATTAGTTATGGCAAAGGCAAAAAACTTGAGGCTTCTCAGCTCTTGTGATCTTGTCCAGGACTAGCTACGAAACCCAGGATCTCATGGGGGAGACTTACTTTTACTGCATTTTTCCTCAAAAAATTCCAACCATGATGTCTGCATTTGACAGAGCCAGTGATATTTCTCAAGTTGTTCCAAACCTTTCCCACTCTCAACACCCGACTGTATGTTGCTATTTTGCTCTCACCAGAGCACCTAGCCGTTGTGCTTAATCTAGATGTGAGGTGACCCCCTTCCAGACAAGAGCTGTGAAGAGGAAGGGCAGGCCCTGGATCCCCGGCTTGGCTACTTTCTCCGGAGCCTGACTATATTGATGATCTTTTTTCAGTTTCAATCTCTGCCTGCTGCCTCTCTCTGATTACTCGCATGCTTGTGTTTCCCAGTCCTAGAAAATACCCTTCCATTTGGCTCTCCTCCACCGGACTACTTAAAGAGAGGTTTTTACTTCCTACTTCAACTTTCTGACCTTCCTCCCATTAGCCCCTCAATCACAGTAATCTGGCTTCCACTCCCACTGTGCTAAAGGCAGCTGTCTCTGGCAAAGGTCACTGAAAACATATGAAAGATAATACATGAGGTATCTTCTTTGAATTCCTCGTCCTATATGAGTTCTCTGTCGTGTTGGTAGTACTCTATGGAGTAGTTCTTTCCTGGCCTCTGAATTACTTCTCCTTGTTTTTATACCTCTCTGGACAGTTGTTTTTTTTTTTTTCATTCACTCCTGAAGTTTTGCCCATCCCTGAAATGTTGGTGTTCCTAGAGGTTCTACCCCTGAGTCTCTTCTCATGCCAACACATTCCCTGAGTGATATGAACCTGCTCCCTTAGCTTCAGGTACTGCCTGAAAATTCCCAAATCTTCATGTCTAGGCTGTCTCCACTCCTGGAGCTCTCTCTTAAAGAAGCACAGTAGGTTAATTAGAAAACAAATGAGCCAGTACAGGAAGACCTTCATCCATTTCACCTCCACTAATCCTGACATTTCTTTGCTGACAGGAAAGTAAGTTAGGAGGAGGGATGATAAGCCCTGTTACAGAACCCTTGGCACTGGAGATAGACCTCCCCTTAACGGCCCATAACCTCTAAGTAAAATCTCATGGGAGGTAAGTCTCTGTACGGACACTATGTGCCAACATCCCTTTCAGAAAATAATAATGAGATGGCCCTGAAGTCAGCTAGAAGAAAGCAGAGTTGGAAGTTCCACATGGGCGGTTCAGTTTGCGTCTGAATTTTTAGGGGGAGTTTGAGTTTTTACTCATTTGAGACCCAGCTTGCCACTGGTTCCCAAGTCCCACCCCTCCCCACGTGTGGAGAATGTAGAAGACTGGGAAATTGCCCAGGAGAGAGGGGCTACGTTCCAGGATCCAACAGCCTCCTTTTAAACTGCCTGCAAGCATCCCATACACAACAGTTCCAGAACTGATCTTATCCCTCTGGTTGTACTCCCATTCTAGTTGACAGTATCACCTTTCACCCTCTTGGCCCAGATGGAAACCTGGTATTGGAGACGCCTCCCCTTCAGTAGTGCCCCCTTCAGTTCTAGGACAAAGTTGTCTCTCCAGACTGGCTCCTTTCTATGCTGGACCAACCTCCCACCATCTTCATACCTCTACTCTCTACCCCATGCACTCCACGTGTGACACTGCAGCCAGAGGAACCTGTCCAAAACACATACTGATCATTCACCTCCTTTCATTAAAATCCCTGATAATGTGCACGTTTTTACCTTTATAAGATCCTTTGCAACCTAACTTGAACTGTCTTCCATTTTCATCTCTGGTGACTCCTTCCCTCATCCAAGCAACAAAGGTTTTCTTTGTAATTTTTCAAACACACCATGCTAAGTACTGAGTGCCAACTACGAGTTGGTCACTCATCTATATACTTTGGAATACAGTGAACATGAAAGGAAGGCCCCTGCTCTCATGCAACTCACATTTTAGTAGGAAGAGCCAGCGAATAAATAGGATAATTTCAGATAGTGATAAGATGCTATGAAGACAATGAAATGGGGTGGATGGGGGGAGATGCGGGTCAGCTATTTTATTTTATTATTATTATTGTTTGCGGTACACGGGCCTCTCACTGCCGCGGCCTCTCCCATTGCGGAGCACACGCTCCGGACGCGCAGGCTCAGCGGCCATGGCTCACGGGCCCAGCAGTTCCGCGGCATGTGGGATCTTCCCGGACCGGGGCACGAACCCACGTCCCCTGCACTGGCAGGAGGACTCTCAACCACTGCGCCACCAGGGTCAGCTATTTTAAATACAGTGCTCAGGGGTGGCCTGACAAGATGACTTTTAGCTGAACTTGAAGGATGAGGAGGAGCCTGACAAGCAAAGGTCTGGCATAGAGTATGTGGGGCCGTTTGAGCAGCACGGGAAAAAGGTTCTTGGGAAGAACTAGTTTGGCAGCTTGGCATTTCCAAGGTTCCAAAACAAAGCAGTGAGGTTGGATCTTATTATATACCTGAGGAGGGGGACAATGCCCTGGTGAGGCCAGATCACATGGGGCCTTATAGGCCAGGTCAAGAAGTCTGGACATTATTTTAAGGGCAAAAGGAATCTACTGAAGGGTATTGTGTGAAGTACTGACGTGCTCTGATTTACCTTTTCAAATGATCACTCTGGCTCTTGGAGAAGGTGTTTTTGGTGAAGCGGAAGGGTAAGCCTCGAGACCAGCTCCACGCCTTCAGGCTTATGCTCAGGCCATTCCTAAGTCTGGAATAACAGTCTTTACTGGGTTCCAGGGTCCCAGTTCCCAGGAAGCTGAGAAAGTGCCTCCTTACTGCATTTCTTTCAGCCCAGGTCAAGCCTCGTCCAGCGATCAAGAAGAGATGGACAAGTGTCCCCCAATAAACCTTGCCTCACCAACCCTTCAGTCATTCAAAAGACCACTCACTAGGCGCTGGAGACACCGAGGAGAGGGCGACGAGGCCCTCCCCCGCCCTTGCTGTCGAGAGACCACTTTTTTCAGGTCCCTCCTCCATCTTCTAACTCAAGGGACAATTCTCGATCAGACTATGGCGTCCCGGGGCAGTGACAAACCCAGGCCCGTGGGTTGGCCGGGCAGAAGAGAAGAGGTTTCCCCCTAAGATGAACGGGGCCGCCTCGCAACTGGCAGCCCAGCGGGGCCCAAACCAAAGAGCCACCAAGCAAGGGAGGCGCAGCCGGCTCTAAGGCAGGATATGGACTACAACTCCCAGCAGATCCTGCGCGCGGACCGCCGATCCCTCCGCTCCAAATTTGCCCTGCCGGCTGTGTGCACCGCTGTCCGCCAAGGGCCAAGTCCAGGTTTTCTAGGCCCCGGAGTCCGTCTTCTTATCACATTTCCGGAGAGGGAGGCTAGGAGCCCTGGAGGAGAAACGGACCTTTTTGAGGAGAAACGCGGATGCAGACCATCGAAGAGACGTCGTTCTGCGGCTGCCGATTTTCGCGCGCTTTTGGCGCGGGTGGTTGTGGGTAGCGCGCCCAGGAGGGAGAAAGGAGCTGGGGGGTCTGTGACCGCGCCGCCCGCCGGGCCTGAGGGTATGGACGAGGACGATCCCCACTCTGAGGGGGCGGCGGTGGTCGCCGCGGCCGGGGAGGCGCTGCAGGCCCTGTGCCAGGAGCTGAACCTGGATGAGGGGAGCGCGGCCGAAGCCCTGGACGACTTCACCGCCATCCGGGGCAACTACAGCCTAGAGGTGAGCGGCGGCAGGTGGGGCGGCGAGACCGAGCTCGCCAGGCCCCACCCCCGCCCCGCCCCTACCCCACCCTATGGGGCGGTGGGAGTTTCCTCACCGGGAAGGGTCTCTGCCCAGCCCCGCGCCGAGAAGTGCGAAGCTGGAAGGGCGAGTGTAGATCAATCTCTCCATTTATTTTGAGGCGGGAAACCGAAGTCCGGAAAAGGAGTGGCTTGTCCAAGGTCACATGCCACTCAGGGGTCCCCTAGTCTTCAGACCAGTGCCACAAACGTCATGGGACTGCCCTTAAATCTGCTTAAACAGTTACTCTAATGGCAGAAGCTTACGTGAATTGTGTGCCCAGACGACACTGCCCAGCGCTTTAAATATGTCATCTTACTTGGTTCTCGCCGCCACACCTCTTCGAACATGTTGTGATCCCCGTTACACAGATGGGAAAGCTGAGCCCCGAAGAGGTTAAGCGCAAGGTCGCACCGTTAGAGGTGGAGCCGGAGTTAGGAGTCTGAGCCATAATCTCTTCACCCTTCCGCCTCGAGGTGTGGGTTGCTCTTTCGGCAGTATTGCCACTGTACAGCAGTTTGATCAGAGCCAGTGTGCACACAATGCTTATCTCTCGGCCACAGTTTCCTCCTCTCTCAGATGGGGATAATTAGATTATCCAGATGCTAATCACAGTGTCTGTCTCTAACCAAAATAAATGTAGGCTATCATTAGATTTTCCCCAACCGTTCTTGCATTAAGTCCTCACAACAGCCCTGTGAACGTGGCAGGGCAGCGAGTATTAAACCTGCTTTCCAGGCAATATTATCAAGGCCCAGAGGATTGTCTTGCCCAGGGTCGTTCTGCTAATTGTCATAGGAACCCAGACAAGCATAAGCCCAGTATAGAGGTAGAATTGTGATGGAATGTATTTGCAATTACTCCAGTAGCCTTATGGTCAAAGGTTTTCGTGATCCAAGAGAGCTGGTCTCACCCAGAGTGCTCTGCTGACTCATCACCTGGTGAAATAATCGGTGGGCTCTAAGGCATAGAGTTGGAAATTTGGAGTTGAGTGTGTGTGTGTGTGTGTGTGTGTGTGTGTGTGTGAGTGAGTGTGAGAGAGAGAGAGAGAGAGAGGAGAAGAGAGACTCTTGTATGTCTCCAGGGTAGGACTGGATAGACTGGATGAAGGACAGTGATGTGCATCTCTGGGTGACACGACTGGAAAGCTGAGGAAAGAATAAGAAGCTAAGGGAGATTATAAATTATGGTCTCTAGATTGGAAACAAACTTTTAAAGTCTGAGAAAGCATTTCTGACATCGAGTCCTCATTTGGTCTGTCACTGAAAAAGCACTGCTGAGTGCAGATGGAGGTCAAGGTATTAACCTGGGCACATCTTTCAGATTCTTGAATATGCCAAGCTTGTTCCTACTTGCGTGCTTTCTCCATGCCGATCCCTCTGCCTGGAAACTTTTCCCTCACTCCCAACTGCAGAGAAAGTTGAAGAGCTGAATCTCCAGTTAGGCCGAGTTCATCAGGATATCTTAAATGTTTGACCAAAATCACAGCTGTGTGAATTGAGATTTTGTGAGTGTTTATTCTATCTAGAGTGTTTTATTTTCCTTTTCTTTTATGCTTTGTTTTTGGTGGAGGGCATTTTCATATATCTGCTGCTTCCTAAGAACCCCTCTGCCCAGCCCCTATCCCCTCTAGTCTACCTGACTAGCTCCTGCTTACCCACCCCACTTCCCCCCCGTACATTCTGGTGATTTTTCACCACTTAGCGCTTTTGTCTCCCTCTGTGAACCCTTCCCAGACCCCCAGTCAAAATCAGTAACTACACTATATTCTCCCAAAACACTTTCTCTTAAATTCTTTTTAAAACATATATCTCACCAATTATAGATAATAGTATAATATCTGTTCCTCTTAGCTCTACACTTGGAGTACCCTGATGTTAGAAACTGTATTTCTAAGGCCTAGCGTAAAGGAACTAAATTAAATACTATAGGTGCTTTTTTTTTAAGGAAAAAAATCAAAGCAGTAATTTTGGTTCTTAAATTTTCTCTGTCTTAATAGTGTTTTCATCTAGTAGCCTGTATCCAAAAGCTGTAGAGTACTTGGATGCTATACCCAAACAATTCGTTAATCAAGGCTTCTAAAAGTATTCAACCTTAAGCTTACCTGCCTCCTTTAATGCCTTGAGCAAATGAGACTTTTCACTATAGTACTTTAGGGTAGGAACACTAGGTCTTAGCTTTATTGGTGGCTACCCATCTCTACCCACCCCTTTTGGATTATTACAAGAAATCTTTATCAATCATTTTATTCTTTTAGAGTCTGATCTTAAAGAGGATCTGCACAACAGTACTGTGTTGTGCTATGAAATTTGAGTCTAGTTCTTAATTTTATGTAAAACTCATCAGTGAAGTCATAAAGTGAATCTAGCTTGGATATCTCAAGCCTAAAGCAGAGAATTAAGTGTTGAATTCCCAAATGACACCTTTTTTGTAGCATTGTAAATTGAAGTGTCTGCTAAGATAGAGAGCCATACTTACTATTTTAAAGATTAGGGTAAATAATTTCCCAAATTTTTACCTCACAAAGCTGACAGTCTCCTTTGTGTTGTGATGGGTGTTAATTTTTATATGTGTAATTCTCTTGCCATCTTCTACTCTGTTCTTTCCTTTCTCTGCCAAACTGGTTAAAAAAGAAACCTAAAACTAAAATGGTAGGAACTTCAGCATCATCAAGGCCGTGACTGGTGTTATAATATTGAGAAAGCTAATGCTGAGAAATTGAAAACTCTTCAATAATATTAGATTTGGGGTATAGGTGAGAGATCTATCTTTAGATTAATACGGATTTAGCATGTTACACAGGACTAAGATTAAGGAGTTTTATACCCATTACTGCAACCATCTAAATTTTGTGACCTTGGGCAAATATCTTCATTTCTCTGGCCTGTTAATACAGGATGAATATTAGATCAGGTAATTCTAAGATCTCTTTTGATTCTAGAATTCAAGCGTTTTAACATAGTGTATCCATTTTGCTGTTTTATCTTTTGCCTGCCAGGGAGAAGTTATCCACTGGTTGGCATGTTCATTATATGTCGCTTGCCGCAAAAGCATTATTCCCACAGTTGGAAAGGGTATCATGGAAGGAAATTGTGTTTCACTTACCAGAATACTACGTTCAGCTAAATTAAGGTAAAGCACTTTGATTTTTCAAACATTATTTTATAAGTCCTAAATTTAATTTTAGGATTTAATTTCTCTTTATTTTAAATCATTTAGCTTCATCCCATTCGAAGTTTGTTATCCATATAGGTATCTTTTCCCAATTCTCACATTCTTTCTCTGCCTTTCTTCCTTAAATTCTAACTTACTTAAACCAGAGGCCTCTAAATCTTTTTAGATTTAGAGGTTCTAAATCTTTTTTCTCTGTAACTTTTTCATTAATGTTTTAAATTTGAGAATAATTTCAAGCTTTCAGAAAAGTTGCAGAAATAAGAAAACGACAAAGAACATCCATGTACCCTTGACCTAGACTCACCTTTTATTGATATTTTACTCCATTTGCTTTATCATTTGATCTTTTTCTGTTAAATAGTATTTTTTTCCTCAGCTATTTCAATTTAAGTGGTGTCCATTGTAGCCCTTTACCCCTAAATACTTCAGTGTGTATTTCCTTAAATAACTACAGTACAGTTATCAACGTCAACAAAGTTAACATTGATACAGTAATTTTGTATAAGCTAGCATCTCTATTGTAGTTTTATTGGTTGATCCAGTAACATTCTTGATAGCATTTTCTTCCTTCAAGATCCAATCTTAAAAAAAAAATAATCCAATCTAGGATCAGGTATTGCATTCACTTGCCATGTCTTTTTAGTCTCCTTTAAACAAGAACATTTCCACAGCCTTTGTCTTTTATGACATTGACTTTTTTTTTTTTTTGCTGTACGCGGGCCTCTCCCTGCTGTGGCCTCTCCCGTTGCGGAGCACAGGCTCCGGACGCGCAGGCTCAGCCGCTCCGCGTCATGTGGGATCCTCCCGGACCAGGGCACGAACCCCGTGTCCCCTGCATCAGCAGGCAGACTCCCAATCACTGCGCCACCAGGGAAGCTCCGACATTGACATTTTTGAAGAGTATAGTTCACAATCACCCTGCCCACCTTTTTAATAGATTGTTCCTCGTTTTGTTTCATGTTTCCTTACGATTAGGTGCAGGTTTTACATTCCTAGGTGGAAAACTACATAAGTGATTTTGTGTCCTCAGTATATCACATCTAGAGGCACATGATATCCTTCTGCCTCTCATTGGTGATGTTAATTTTGATCATCTGCTAACGATGTT